GAAATTTTTGGAATGTCTTCCGAACATTCTGGGGGCTTTATTTGGGAATTCAGATAATTTTATTCATGAATTCTGGAATGTCAGCCGAAAATTTTGGGAATGTCTTCCGAAAATTCTGGGGACTTTATTTGGGAATTCAGATAATTTTATTCATGGATTCTGGAAACTCCGTCCAAGAATTCTGAAATTTCCTGCTAGTTAGCATGGTTATAACATCCAGAAATTTTGAGAATTTCATTAAATAATTCCGGAAATTTTATCGATTAATTCTGAGAACTTGATCTCGGAATTCTGGCAATTCCTGAAAACAACATCTAAGAATTCTGGAAATGTCACCCCGAAATGTTGGGAATGTCATCTGAAACTTCTGGGGAATTTAACTAGGAATTCAGAGAATTTTATTGGTGGATTCTGAAAATTCCTGCGGGTTATCATGTTTATGACAACCAGAAATACTGATAATTCGACCCTTGTACTCTGAGAATTCCATTAAAGAAATCTGGAAATTTGATTCAGTAATTATGAGAATTTTATCCGGGAATTCTGAGAATTCCATTAAAGAATTCTGAAAATTATAATCTTGTTATTCTGAGAGCGACATCTTAGAATTCTGGGAATTTCAGCCGGAAATTTTGGGAATGTCATACAAAAATTCTGGGGACTTAATCTGGGAATTCAGAGAATTTAATTCGTGGATTCTGAAAATTTCTGCTTATGACACGATTATGACATTCAGAAATTGTGAGAATTTGATCCGAGAATTCAGAGAATTCCATTAAAGAGTTCTGAAAATTTGACCCAGAATTTTATCCAGGAATTATGTGAATTCCATTAAAGAATTCTGGAAATTTGAATCGTGCAATCAAGAACGACATCTTAGAATACTAGGAATGTCAACCGGAAATTTTTGGAATGACTTCCGAACATTCTGGGGACTTTATTTGGGAATTCAGATAATTTTATTCATGAATTCTGGAAACTCCGTCCAAGAATTCAGAAAATTGCTGCGAGTTAGCATGGTTATGACATCCAGAAATATTGAGAATTTCATCGAATAATTCCGTAAGTTCATCCGAAAATTCTGGGAACTTTAGCTGGGATTTCAGAGAATTTTTTTTTGTTTTTGAAAATTCCTGCTAGTTAACATGGTATGACATCCAGAAATTCTGAGAATTATCCGGGAATTCTTAGAATTTCATTACAGAAATCTGGAAATTTGGCCCAGTAATTCTGAGGATTTCAATCGGGAATTCTGAGAATTCCATTAAAGAATTCTTGAAATTTAATCCAGTAATTCTGAGAATTTTAATCGGGAATTCTGAGTATTTCGTTAAATAATTCTGGAAATTTTACCGAGTAATTATGAGAACGACATTTAAGAATTCTGGGAATTTCAGCGAGATATGTCGAGAACGTCATCCGAAAATTCTGAGGACTTACCCTGGGAATTCAAAGAATTTTATTCATGGATTCTGGAAACTCCGTCCAAGAATTCTGAAAATTCCTGCGAGTTATCATGGATATGAAATCCAGGAGTTCTGAATATTTGATCCGCGAATTCTGAGAATTCCATTAAAGAATTCTGAAAATGTTATCCAGTAATCTGAGAATTTTATCTGGGAATTCTGAGAATTCCATTAATGAAGTAATTCTGAAAACGACATCTAGGAATTCTGAGAATGCCAACCGGAGATTTGAGAATGTCATCCGAAAATCCTGGAGACTTTATCTCGGTATTCAGAGAATTTTATTCGTGGATTCTGAAAATTCCTGCTAGTTACCATGGTAATGACATCCAGGAATTCTCATAACTTGATCCAAGAATTCTGAGAATTTGGTCCGAGAATTCTGAGAATTCCATTAAAGAATTCTGGAGATTAGACCAAGAATTTAATCCGAGAATTGAGAGAATTCCATTAACGAATTCTGGAAATTTGAATCGTACAATCAAAACCGACATCTTAGAATTCTTGGAATGTCAGCCGGACATTTTGGGAATGTCTTTAAAAAATACTGGGGACTTTATTTGGGAATTCATATAATTTTATTCATGGATTCTGGAAACTCCGTCGAAGAATTCTGAAAATTCCTGCGATTTATCATGGTTATGACATCCAGAAATTCTGACAATTTTATCCGAAAATTCAGAGAATTTCATCAAAGAATTTCGAGAATTTGATCTGGGAATTCTGAGAATTTCATTAAAGAATTGTGGAAATTTTACCCAGTAATTCTAAAAACAACATCTAAGAATGCTGGGAATGCCAGCCGGAAATTTGGGAATTTCATCCGAAAATTCTGGGGATTCAGAGAATTTAATTCGTGGATTCTGAAAATTCCTGCTAGTTATAATGGTTATGACATCCCGAAATTCTGAGAATTTCATCCGAGAATTCCATTAAAGAATTATGGAAATTTGAATGGTGCAATTAAAAACGACATCTTAGAATTCTTGGAATGTCAGCCGGAAATTTTGGGAATGTCTTCCAAAAATACTGAGGACTTTATTTGGGAGTTCAGATAATTTTTATTCATGGATCCTGGAAACTCCGTCCAAGAATTCTGAAAATTCCTGTGAGTTAGCATGGTTATGACATCAAGAAATTCTATTTTATCCGGAAGTTCAGAGAATTTCATCAAAGAATTCTGAGAATTTTATTGGGGAATTCTGAGAATTTCATTAAATAATTCCGGAAATTTGATCGACTAATTCTGAGAATTTGGTCTTGGAATTCTGGCAATTCCATTAAAGAATTCTGAACATTTGATCCAGTAATTCTGAAAACAACATTTTAGAATTCTGGAAATATCAGCCGGAAATTTTGGGAATGTCATCTGAAATTTCTGGGGATTTTATCTGGGAATTCAAAGAATTTTATTGGTGGATTGTGTAAATTCCTGCGGACTATCATGTTCATGACATCCAGAAATACTGATAATTCAACACTTGAATTCTGAGAATTCCATTAAAGAAATCTGGAAATTTGGTTCAGCAATTAAGAGAATTTTATCCGGGAATTCTATTAATATCATTAAAGAATTCTGGAAATTTAATCTTGTTATTCTTAGAACGATATCTAAGATATCTGGAAATTTCAGCCGGAAGCATCCGAAAATTCCGGAGACTTAATCTGGGAATTCAGAGAATTTTATTCGTGGATTCTGGAAAATCCGTCCGAAAATTCCTGCGAGTTACCATGACATCCACAAGTTCTAAGAATTTTATACGGGAATTCTGAGAATTCCATTGAAGAATTCTTGAAATTTAATCCAGTAATTCTGAAAATATTATCCGGAAATTCTGAGAATTCTGTTAAATAATTCTGGAAATTTGACCCAGTAATTATGAGAACGACATCTTAGAATTCTATTAGCCATCCGGAAATTTTAGGAATGTCATCCGAAAATTCTGGCATTTCAGAGAATGTTATTCGTTGATTCTGAAAATTCCTGCTAGTTATCGTGGTTATGACATCCAGAAATTCTGATAATTTATCCGGGAATTCTTGGAATTCCATTACAGAAATCTGGAGAATTGATCCAGTAATTCTGAGAATTTTCATCGGGAATTTTGTGAATTTCATTGAAGAATTCTTGAAATTTAATCCAGTAATTCTGTCATAACCATGATAACTATCCGGGAATTCTGAGAATTGCGTTAAATAATTCTGAAAATTTGACCGAGTAATTATGAGAACGACATCTAAGAGTTCTGGAAATTACAGCCAGAAATTTTGGGAATGTCATCCGAAAACTCTGAGGACTTAATCTGGGAATTCAGAGAATTTTATTCGTGGATTCTGGAAACTCCGTCTGAGAATTCTGAAAATTCCTGCGAGTTATCATGGATATGAAATCCAGGAGTTCTGAAAATTTTATCCGGAAATTCTGAGATTTCCATTAATGAATTCTGGAAATTTTATACAGTAATTCTGAGAATTTATTCCGGAAATTCTGAGATTTCCATTAAAGAATTCTGGAAATTTGATGCAGTAATTCTTAGATTTTAATCCGGGAATTCTGAGGTTTTTATCCAGGAATTCAGAAAATTTCATTCGTGAATTCTGGAAGCTCCGTCCGAGGATTCATAAAATTCCTGCAAGTTCATGGTTATGAAATCCAGATATTCTGGGAATTTTTTCCGGGAGTTCTATGGATTCCATTAAAAAATTCTGGAAATTTGATCCACTCATTCTGAAAACGACATCTTAGAATTCTAGGATTGTTGGCCGGAAATTTTGGGAATGACATCCGAAAATTCCGGGGATTTTATCAGGGAATTCAGACAATTTTATTCGTTGATTCTGGAAACTCCGCCCGGGAATACTGAAAATTGCTTCCGGCAATGAATGGCAGCAAGGAATCTTGTTTGAACCTCTCCGGTTGCCGGAGCTGTCCTCTTTACCAAATCACTCCATCACAATGGCATTGTCTTTTCGTCATAATTGTTTATACAAAGCGTAGGTCTATCTGTGATGTGCTCTGTTCGCATACGTTTCAAGCCAAATAAAATGTAAAACAAACGTGTTGCGTGTTGATTTCTAACGAGAAGGAGGCCAAATGGATACATCGAATCTACAATCCTGCCATTGAATCGATCACCTATCCTGGAGTTCTGAGAACATGATTACATCCGGAAATTCTGGGTTCACTTCCCGGGCATTTTGGGAATTTCGTTCGAAAATTCATCCAGCTTTCCAAAATACTGAGATATGCATGAAACGCGTTCAATGATCTCATAATATGATTTATTTTTATAAATATCCAATCAACTTTGCATGACCGCACAAACCATGCGAACATTAAGCGATAACTTCATCTGAACAACCAAAATGAGACTCGGTCGCAGACGCTTTCAATTTGATATTTAAAGTTTGTCACCATGCAGTCATGCGGTCCCAATCCCCCCCTCCGCCCACCCACTGCATGCAACCGCAAGGAACGTGGATAAAGAGACTGCAAACAAATACAATCAAGAAACACTCGATATCTGTACTCACATTCTTTGCGCGTTCAGCAAGTCTTGAAACGACGAACTCTGGTTCCGCTGCAGTGGAGCCCTCCGTCCCAGCTGTTGTAGTTGTTGTTGTTGTTGTTGTTGTTGTTGCTGTTGCTGCTGCTGCTGCTGCTGCTGCTGCTGCTGCAAGCTCTGATAGCTGATCCGCGGTGGAAGGCTTGCAAATTCACTGCCGTCGTTGAGCAAAAAATTACTATTGACACCGAAGCGGTAGGGATTCTGCTGTTGAATGACACCACCAATCACGCTGCCGCCACTTAGGTCCAGCGGTAGTGTCTGTTGCTGCTGATGATGCAGCTGAGTTGGCGAAAACAGTCCGATATTCGATGGCGATGACGAGTTTGGCGCGTCAAGGTAGCTCTGTTGAGAATGGAAATGATTTTTATTTGAACCGATGGTGACAGTTGTGAGGTGTGGCACTGCGTGGGCAGAACGGATCAAACTTACCAAATTGGGCGGAAGCGACAGTGGTTCGCCTCCCTTCAGAGTGGGACTGTCCAGCTGATCCGGCGAGTCCTGGCTGGTGGCGTTCTCCAGACCCCGGATGGCATTGGCCAGCCAAACGTCCAAGTGTTTCGACGGGTTGAACGAGGGCGGTTGTTGTTGCTGCTGTTTGCTGGATGATTTTTTCTCTGTTGTGCCGCCAAGGAATCAAATAACAAAAACAAACAGAAAACAAAATCCATTATTCAGCGAGGGTGGCGTGTTTAAAAACGGATCGACTGGGAGAGGGGGGCGGGGGGATAGAAGTTACGTGCTCTGGTGCTCTGTAGATTAGTGGTGGTGTGGTAGTGAACCTCTTTAACACTAAAACGCGCAAATATGTATTTTCACCTACGATACGTACAGTTGTTTTTTTTTTATTCGCACAAGGACGCCTGACTTCGATGTTAAGTTTTTGTTATTTCGCTGATTTTTAAAACGCCGCGGGCATGCTTTTCGCTCTGATTCTTCATTGTTGTTGAGTGCGATAGCTTTGCCAATGCCATAACCTGAACTTGTCCGTTGGCGGTTCGCAGGCAAGCGATCGGTGGGTGGCAGAGGAAAATGCTCGGATAACCTGACTGGCTGGATACCTACCTTATGCATAGCATTTACATACACACAAATGGCATTGTTTGCATTCTGATAAACCATTTCGTCAACTCTTTCCCTCCATATGATCCATGAAATTTTTATGCGTGGGTTATGGTGGGGTATGCGGACCGAACGACTACTCTGCAGAATTATAAAACTTTATATCTCACACACTCGACACTCCTAAATTGGGGTGGACACTCAAAGCAGAGAGACATTTTTCCGATTTGGTGACAAAGGAAAATTTCATTCCTATCCTTACTTTCTTTTGGCATTTAAATGTTTCAAACAAACTTGATGAAGATCTATGAAGCAAGTGCGTAAGCTGTGTCTACCGGTCGGTTATTTATGGAACCATTGATTGGGTGCGTGCATAAAGGGTGTCCACGATGAAATTGCCACACTATGAAATTGCTCTAACTTTTTAACCGTTGGGTAGAATTTAATGAAAATTTGGGTGGATTTAGTTCATAGTGCATTACTTACATCCTGCAAGTTTTAAAGTCCTGTGATCAAAACTCGCGGAAATGGAGTCGAAAGAACAGCTCGTGCGTGATAAAATCTTGCGCATTCATCACGAGAACAAGGATCTCTCGCATCGTTCCATCGCTAAAACGTTGAGAATCGCGAATTCCACGGTGTCACGAGTGATTAAGCGGTTCGAGGAACGGTTGACCACCGATCGGAAGCCCAGAAGTGAAGGAAAAAGTATTCCGTACAACACCAAAAATCACAACCGCGTAGTTGGGGCCTTCAACCGAAATCCGAACGCCTCCGTTAGGGATGTGGCTAAGAAGCTGCACCTAAGCCAAAGTTTTGTCCAGAAGGCCAAAACTAAGGCTGGGCTTCGAACGTTCAAGGTACAAAAGGCCGCTAATCGCGACGAGAAGCAGAACAAGTCCGCCAAAACCCGTGCCAGGAAGTTGTACCTCAACATGCTGACGAAAGTTGAATGCTGCATCATGGACGACGAAACATATGTGAAGGCCGACTTCAAACTACCTGTTTTTCACGGCCAAGGATAAGTTCAGCGTTCCGGAGCATGTCCGCACTCAGAAGATGTCCAAATTTGCGAAGAAGTTCCTGGTTTGGCAATCCATCTGCACGTGCGGGAAGCGGAGTGCACCTTTCGTGACCCAGGACACGATGAACGGACAGGTGTACATAAAAGAGTGTCTCCAGAAGCGGCTGCTTCCTCTCCTGAAGACCCACAACGTCCCAACAATCTTCTGGCCGGATTTGGCCTCATGCCACTACTCCAAGGACGTGCTGAAGTGGTATGCGGACAATAAGGTCAATTTCGTGCCGAAAATGTTCAACCCTCCCAACACTCCGGAGCTCCGCCCCATCGAGAAGTACTGGGCGATTATGAGGCAGCACCTTCTTAAACGACCTAAGGTAGTGAAGACAGTCGAGGAACTGAAGAAAGTATGGGTTTACATGCAAAAAACGGTTGATTCACAGGTTGTGCAGAATCTTATGGCCGGGGTTAAGGCCAAGGTGCGGGCATTTGCGTATGGACTGTAAATAAAATACGAGTAAAATGGTAAAATGAAGTTTAATAGTTATTTCTCAATCCCTGAAAATTTGATGGCAATCGGATGAAAACTCGAATTTTGCGAATCAATTTTGTGTGTGGCAATTTCATCGTGGACACCCTTTAGAGCAGGTTTCAAATTTTTTCAAGCACGAAATACACTCTAGGAAAAATGTCTTTTTTTGTAAATGTCCGTACTAAGATTATTTCACAGCTTTCTAAGAAGTTTTACCGAAATCGCAACAGCAACGTACGATAAACGGATCGGCGATTTTTTGCAAATTTCCACAGATAACCACAAGAAAAATCACCGAACTGTTTACCGAACGATCAGCTGTTGAGATTTCGGTAAATCTTTACAGAAATCTGTGTAACCTAAATGACGTAGGGTACATGTCCCTAACCTCGGTCTAATATGATGCCTTCATTTACATATTATGCCATATCCTATTTAATAATTGAGCTTCAACAGATATTTCACTGCCAACATACAAGCTTAAATATCCTTATTATTTGGATGTTACCCAGGTAACAATTTGATGCTTAACAAGTGTTGTTTAATCGTTTTTAATTCAGCCTTAGTTTGAATAATTGTTGTACATAGACCACTTTAACCTTTGGTTCAGCTTTTAAACATCTAAATCTAGTGAATTTAATCAGCCGAAAGCTTAACAGTTACATAAATTATAATCTTTTTAAGGCATTAAATAACAGTCTTTTCCAACACTTGTTCAGCCTTACAGTTTTATTTAAAAAAAAATAATGGAAAACCGCTTCATATCTTAAATATTTTTACGGGACTGCAACAAACAAGGTGCTGAATAATTGAATAATCATTAGGCATCAATCATACCTACTGGACCACTTAAGCAGATATGATCATTAACTTGAAAAACGTCAAATTTAAATTGAATAACAGCAACCGGAAGAGTGTCATACAGAAATGCAGAATTGTAAACAACAACTAGTGACAGTAAAACATTCCCCTCATTTTCAAGTGTAGTTAATACAATGTGGACCCAAGTGCGCGATTTATTTCGATTGTCATGGGGAAGCTATTTTAGTGCCATAATTGAGTTGTATTTTTGGAATGCTGTCTGAAATTTCAGTGCAATATAGCAGTCAAAACACGGAAATACAAATGTTTATTCTCCCGACGTCGCCGCATCCCACTTCCACCTGGAGTTATTCCTAAAAAACTCCTATAGGGAAGAGCGCTACTTCGTCGTAATCGCCCATTTCCGTTCTATTGAGCAGAAATCATCAATAATATCAATGATTTCACCATGCACAACACAATAATACGTTTGTTCCGATGCGTTAGTTCATTAGCTACGACATAAATCCTATTAGAGCGCATTGTATGCATATTTACGCTCATTGTTCTCAAAACAAAAGAAGCGCTCCTAGCGCATCCCCTTTTTCTCCGTTTATCCGTAGGACGAAGAAAATCTAATGGAGTTTCAATGCGTTTGGACGGAATTGAAACCCGTAGGACGAATTTAGAAGCAAGAAGCAGTGTTAGATTTTTAATAATATCTCAACATTGTTTAACTCTTTATCAAATCTAACGGTACGTATGGAAAGGTGGATAAATTTAGAAGTTATCTTTGATGAAAACATTCCATGTTTTGTTCAAACGCTTTACAAAAAGCGTGGTAAAGTGCGGGATGTCCTTAGTAGGACGGAAATTAGATCAAAAACCCTACCTTGTCTCTACTGCTGCCGCTGCTTGGGATTAGAAAGGTAGGCAGTGAATTCAGAAAAAACTAAAATGCTGGAAATACAACGAGTGAAACTGACTACATTTAACAAATCAGGCTATCAAAGTATTTGTAGTGCATTGCTGATTTGTGGAGTAGTGTTAAGCTAAAATAAGGCTTGTTCAATTCCCTTATTGAGTTGAATTATGGGAATACAATTAGCTTCATGCACTACTAATCAACTATACATTCAGCCTGCTGTTAATCAGCTTTGTACACCTTAAATCAACCAATAACCAGCTTCTGTTATTACTGTTCAGCTTGAATTGTTACTTGGGTGATTAGGCACGATGGAAAATTGTAAAACTCACCATTTTAACATGAAAACTCTTCAGGTACGTGGATGAATGTCGGTCTACTGTACTCAAATTGGATCTATCAATGGATGCAACTTTGGTCTATCGAAGATGACCCTCCTACAAAGGTCCGACATCTGAAATCGCGCTTCTTTTTCATTCCTTATCATTCATACGTAACCACATTGTTGACGTCATCTAAACTTCTCGCGTAAGAACTGATGAGGAAGAAAGAGCCAGTGTTTTTTTTCGGTTGATCCAGATAACATAAACCACGATGCTTTTAGAATCATCATAAAAGCCAAATAGATCATCTAACGCCCACACATATAATGAACTGTCAAGTCAATTCTAGATCAACATGTGAAATGGACCTATGTAAACAATGGCTCGCGGATTGAGACTCATTCAGGCAAACCAAAAGCAGCATCTGGCAGAGTTAGTTTGCTCGATCAAATGGTGTAGTTAATTCGCGTGGACGTGTTGTGATTCATGAGCAATCGTGTAAAGTCATTATTTACATTCGGGTCCTAGGACCTTACAACATGTTGCTCTAGAAGTAATAGCACCGAAGGGCCTAAATCGGAATTTTAATGCACGGCCGATGAGATCGACTGAAAATTGAGTGGTTTTCCACTCATAATCTCAAACATGTAGGTCAAATAATAAATCCATTAGATTTTAACAAAACTTTCATGAGATCTCATAATTGGGAATCGCACCACCAAATCACATGAACCTTACAGGGGTTACTCAAAATAACTAGGATGGGCAAATTTTTGGTCAACTTTGGAGTATTGTAACTTCGTCAAATATGATCCGATTTTAAATCTTCCAAGAGCATTTGACTGAAAAACTAATATTGTTCTACGGTGTAGCAACGAAAATAATCCTGGTCACCGGATACCGGAGATATTCCGGGTTTCCGGAGGGCTTGTCTAACTTGCTAAATTTTTGGT